CATCTCTGTTAAGGTTTGAAACACCTAGGCTCCCTAAAAACACAAATTTGAATAGCATCAGCGGCAACGTAGCCATTTCTTGGGTCGTTACACTAAGTACTTTGTCATCTCTTCAGTAGGAAATTCCCCATGCCTGCTCTACACAAACTTTTCTAGGGGATGGACAGGCAGTACCTGGAAAGATGTAGCTGGGCTTGGGTAGCTCTGCATTAGATGCGGGATTCTGCATCTACTGGGAAATGGGGATTTACTGTCTTTCTGTGCTAGCTGACCATAGGGGCTGGGGCTGCACAGTCTGTCTGTGCTGGCTGACAAGCCATTTCGTCAAGTCAGTCATAAATTTAAATTGAGTGCCATAAAAGTGTCAGGTGGGGAGTGAGATGCCACAGTCCATTTCCTGGCATGTTTGTCAGGTGGCGTTTGCAGAGCTGTTTATATCCTTCAGGACATGCTGCTGTTAGGATCTGGGTTCTTGTTTTGTTGTCTCTGACAGAGGAAATAACCAGGTTGGCTGCCAGGGTCAGTTCAACACCAAGGCCTCCTCATTGCCCACCTTATTTCCTTTGAGTCTAATGGAGAGATAACAGTTCCTGATTGTAATCATGGAATTAATGAACAGTTTGCAAGGCCATTTATCTTGGTGTCTCTCGGTTTCCTTTTTCTTAATGTTACTAAGGAAATAACCATCCACCCTTCTGCTGAAGGCTACACCAGACACAAACATCCATCCAAGCTGACGAGCACTTTCTGTGACTATTCCACCAAAGGCCCCAGGAGATCTAAGAACTGTTCAAACAATGTCCCATTGCCACTTGTGACCAGCAACTGTAAGAGAAGTTCATTCCAGGTCCACCCCAAATTCTTTTTGGGGATGCTGATGCATTCCCTGAGGTCCAGTTCAATGAACCCTATATCGTCCGGCACAAAAATCAGCTGTTCATAGACTCCAATCTTTTGCTCTGGCTACTCTTTCTGGAGTCTCTGCTGTGGCTGCTCAGTAGCACTCACTGGGAAAGAAAGGCTGGTAGCAATGGGATGATAATGGAACGGCACAACCTAGTTCTCAGCAGTGGCTGGTGAAGTGCACAGAGCAAAAGAAGCAGCTCCTTTTCCAGTTTGCAGCGAAATCTCTTTAAATTCATAGCCCCAATATGCATTTTTTCATTGTGGGTCTTTGAGTTGGTGCAGAGATCTACAATACAGACCTGCCTGCAAGTCATGGGACCAACAGTGCAAGTAGGGCAGTACCCTCCAGTATGCAATACCTGCAAGAAATTTCTAGCCGGTACAGGATACTGGAAAGACAGGGGCCAGCACCCCCACAGGAGCACACGGCTGGGGGGCGGGTCTGCGCTCTGTTCCTTAAAGGAGCAGAAAGTGGCTAGGAAGGGCATTCATTCTTTATGGCTTTACCAGCACACTACATATGCTAACAAACTTTAAAAAAGGCTTTGTTTAAGTTTGTTAGCATATGTATTGTGTTGTTTTAGGTTGGTCAGGAGTCCTCAAGAGGGGAGGGGTGAGGGGGACGGAAGGTGTTTTAATAAAACAATGGTTTTTATTCTGTTTCTCCCCATTGGTCTGAATTATCCATGGCATTCATGCTGCATCACATCAAGTCCAGGTCATTAGAGGAATGCCTCTGCTTGCACTGACCAGAGGATGTTTGGATTCTGATGTGAGCCCAGTTCTGTGTAAACACAGAATTATTCTTTGCAGCCAAACTAGTCTAACATGCATTTTGTTGACTGGAACTGGAGCAGCAAAACAAACAAAAAAAAATGCCTCATTTTCCAGCTTTTGGGGTGAGAGAACTATAAGTTTCAGAGGAACAGCCGTGTTAGTCTGTATTCGCAAAAAGAAAAGGAGTACTTGTGGCACCTTAGAGACTAACCAGTTTATTTGAGCATGAGCTTTCGTGAGCCACAGCTCACATCTGATGAAGTGAGCTGTGGCTCACGAAAGCTCATGCTCAAATAAATTGGTTAGTCTCTAAGGTGCCACAAGAACTATAAGTGAAGATTACGATGCTGGACACTGCCAGCCTTAAACCAACTGCCTTAGGAATCTGCCACGAATTTTGCTGAAAATATGTTCTTCATCTTAGCAATGGAGCTAAGACTTATCACACATTTGCCCACCTTTATTGGAATGAAGCTCCTTCTGATCTGACAGCTCAGGCATTGTCAGTTTCATCCAGAACAATTTACAAACTTGGAACCTAATCCTGTAAATCCTTAATCATTTGATCAATCCCATTGAAGATAATGGGACTGTTTGCATGACTATTGACCACTTTTATGGACTAGTAAGAGTTTCAGGAGTCTGTTCCTATAAAGGAAATTGAATCCCCCATTGAAATGCAATGTTTGGGTACAATACTATAAAGCAGTTTGGGATACAGTTCTACTTAAAATTTGTCTTTTAATAAGTCATACATATGCTGAAATGGCTCCTCACCCAACTCCCACATTCCATATAAAAAGAAAAGGAGTACTTGTGGCACCTTAGAGACTAACCAATTTATTTGAGCATGAAGTGAGCTGTAGCTCACGAAAGCTCATGCTCAAATAAATTGGTTAGTCTCTAAGGTGCCACAAGTACTCCTTTTCTTTTTGCGAATACAGACTAACACGGCTGTTACTCTGAAACCATTCCATATAAACAGACTGAATACTACATATTTGGGGGGAAAGTGATTAGTTAAGCATGTTGATGTTTGTATATACAAAGGGGGGTGTCAGAGGAGATGGGGAGAGTGTGGGGGCCCTGGGATGGGGGTGGGGTGGAGTCACACGGAAGGTCATGTGGGGTGGTTACATGCCCACCCCTTATGTCTGTCCCATGAGTGCAGTACCAGGAAGAAATGATTTCTACTTGCACCACTGCATGGGACTAATACATATTCTCTCATGTTGCCATTTCAGATGCCATAGTGATAGTCAAATAGCTGCTATTAACAGGTTATGACCAGGTGTTAGACTTCAGGGCTTTGTGGGGTGATGCAGAGCTATGCTGCCAACTCATGCTGGCAGTTAGATCAGATGAGGCTCATTAACACCAAGAAAGGAGTATAAACAGCTGAAAGTCTCTCTGCTTGGAGGAGGGTCAGGAGATCTAGAAAGGGGGGGAAACCTAGAAGCTGTTAGTGCAGACCAAAGCCTATCTTTGTAAGTGCAATCCTATCTTGGGGCTTTAGTGTGTATGTTAAGAATAAAGTCAAAATTCAGGAAGGAATGGATTTGAACCATAGCCAGTGTGTATTTGTGATGCAATATTCACAGATATTGTTTTATTAGTAGCAAATCATCACGCTATGAAACGTCAGTTGGTCCCGCCACAGAAATCATCCTGTTCAGTCTCAAATGAGGCTGAATGTTTAACTCCCTTCTGAAGGTATTGTTATTTATATGTGAAAACAGAGGCACGTATTTGAAAAGAAGAGAGATCTGGGGTGCTATACGTATTGGTTTCCAGTTTTGATTAAAGGTCAGGTTTTGTAGGCATCCTCAAGGTCTGAGTTTGGGATCTGATCAGGGATTGGAATGAATTAAGATTCTGGTGAAGGACGTCATGATGTGGGGGACAGATAGGGCCTTTGTTAGGACTAGGATTTCTCATCTAAGAATCTTTACTTCAGTCCTTTTCAGAAATCTCCAAAACCCAAAGAGAGCCTCAACCCTCTTAGTTTGAGACAGACCAATTTGTTGTTGTGTGACACCTTTCACCTTGTTTCCTTCTTTGTAAAGTTCTCTCTCCATTTAACCTGGTCCCATTCCTCTCCTCTGGGACACAGGTTTGTCCTCCCAGTGTGGTGTCCCTTTACTATTATTTGTATTGTGGCTCCACCTAAAGGCCAGATGCAGGATTTGGGCTCCACTGTGCAAGCAGGTAGATATGACCCCTATCCTCAAGAGTCCAATCCAGCAGAAGAAAGGCTCTGCCTGACTTCTCAGCCATGCTGTTTGTGAGGCCTGAGTGGAACAGGAAGAACAAGTGCTTTCCAATTCCCGACTAGTAACACTGATCCCACTCCTGCTTTGCATTGGAAAGCTTCTGTTTCAGGTCTGCTTCACCAGCTCCCTCATGTGCAGAGAGCAGGCACTGTGCCCCATGTATAACTTTTCATTTATTTGGTATCGGAACAACTTTTCTTCTGATGACTAATACTTTTTTTGTACTCTTCCTGATGCCTTTTACTAACAGCCTGCTGGATCTAGATCTCTGTGCCTTCTTGTGTGCAATGAGTGGCCTAATGTGGCAGATTATGGAGATGCTATGAGCAAGGGGCAATGGATTACCTACTGCATTGTGGATTTCAAGCCACTAGGCATAGCCTTGAGTGCCATGCTGCTACAGAAAAATGTCAGCCTCTCTCTTTGTAAGGGCCACACTTGTAGAGAAGAAAATGCTTCCATTTCTGAACCTTAAACTAACTTCCCCCTCCAAGGCTAGCACTAGGCTTCAGAAATAACAAAAGCCACAAGGTCTACAGAGTGTTGCTGAACATTAAACATGACTTACACGTTGTTTCAGAGAAAATACGGCTTTCTGGGGATTTGCTCAGAAAATGGTTAGTACAGATACTGTTGAGCAGTTAAGATCACTTCAGCCTTGAATACTATTTCTTACCAATCATCAGACCTATTCCCTCTCAAGGACTGAATTCTCAGAACACACTTGGCTTGTTAATTAAATGTTAACTCAGTGTGCATACAACAGCCTCATGCATGCTTAGGCTGCTAGACCATTAGGTTATCCAGCAGCTTCAATGAATTCTGCCATTCTCAGCTGTCAAACCATTTGTTGTCCATACAACCTACAACTTGCCTTATGAAAGCTTCCTTCAGAATGGTATTTTATGCCACTTAAATATAAAAGGCAGTATTAATTCAGTTAGGTTAAACACTCTAAAAGCTATCCTTTAAAGATTCCTATGTAGGATGTAACCAGTCAGTTCTGCAATGAGAAATCTAAGTCCTGCATTTTTTTTTCTTTAGAAAGGATCTATCAGCACAGTGTTTCTAACGCAAAGCATCCTGCCTTACATTCAAGTACCTTGAACTTCAGCCTGGAGAGGGAGTGGAAGCTCCATTGCTTGAGTAACTGGACAAGGAATGTAAGGAACAATCCAGCCCTAGGTTTTGGGGTGGGCAGACACTAGCTGGTTTCAAAGGTCTCAACTATCTCTAATGTCTAAGATTTTTTACCATGCCAAAAAATCCCAAAACAACCTTAATTCAGTAGTTACTTACCTCCCAAGTCTGTGGGGAGATTTAATTGATGTTTGGAAAGTATTTTGAGGTCTTTGGGTGGAAGGTGCCATGTATGATCTTTAATAAAGTATTATTCAGAAATATGAACTTCACTTCAGCTCTGAGTGAAAATGTTCTCAGTGCAGGCAAACACTAGGATGACTTATGTTGTCCCCAAATTCACAAAAAGTTAGGGGCCACATTTTGCTCACATTGACACTTCTGCAACCTCATTGACTTCAGCAGGATGGTAATGGTGTAATTGAAGCAGATATTGGCCCGTTGTCCATTTGCTTTAAATTTTTCACTTTTTTTTTATGTAGTCCTTTATGTGTCTGAGTCAGATTACGTCTTTTTGGGGCCAGGACCTTGTTTTGATTTGTGATTTGTAAAACACTATGTAGCTTTATAGCACTATTTAACTTGGCAATATGCTTTCCTTTTCCTCATAGTGAAACATCACAAAATCCCATTTTAACTGGTGCCCAAAGCTCTTTTCACAGCTGAAAATGGCAAAATTGTATTGTTACCTGTACTTTGCTTGTGGCTAAGGACCCCACAAAGGGATCAGGGCCCTATTGTGCTAGATGCTGTACAAGCCCTTACTGAGAGCTGTAGACAATTTAAAAGGTTGCATGAGATCTTTCTAAATGATCCTGACTCTTGCAGCAATCCATGTTGCAGGGCATAACACTTCACAGAGCCAAAGGAGCAAGGCAATGGGACTTGCCATCAGCGTATGTTCCATCCATCAAGATGACATTAGTGAGCTCAACATATGGCTGCTCATTGAGACCATTTGGAAACTGAGGCTAATGCAGCATGTAGCTACCCACTTGTTAATCAGTGCATCGCTTTGAGAGTAATTTACACCCATTCTCAGGTAACTACACTGGCTACTTAATAGCAGAGCTATTGACCTATAAAACATGGTATGGAATGGGAGCTGCCTAACTGAGAGGCCATCGCATTCTCTCATATCATGCTCCCACAACTGGAACACTTTCTGTATATGAGAGAATAATATATTCTGTGTATACAACAGGGCTCTCGGTAAGGCATTTTCTGGGAGGTGTCCTTGACTTTGGAATTGGTTCCCCTGCCTGTTCTGCCAGAGCACAGATGGTTAATCATCCAAACATCCCACCTTCGCTTTCATTTGGGGAAGTGGGTTGACGGACATTGTTGTTAAAGGGGTTAGTTTGTTAAGATGATTTCCAGGCCACCTATTAACGATGCCGAGAGGGTGACAATGTTTTAACTTTTGCATGGAATTGTTTTAAAGGGCCCAGAGCTTGAGATGGGCACTTAAATCGTCACAATCAATATCTAGTTACGTATTTTTACCAGACCCAGGTAGTGTCTGAACATCTAGTATGCTGAGCCCTGTGGGGTTGCATCTCTGCACTGAGTTGCCAGGGGGAATCTGCAAGTGTTTCAGAGATAGCGCCTTCACCCCCTCCTCCTATCACACCCCTCTACATACCCAATCTGTTCTAACCTCTTCAAGTAAACAATAAACCTTTCCACATACTGTGCCCATTTGCTGACTTTGAAAGGGTAGAGCAGGGAAGGAGGGCAGCAAGCAGATTTGAATATGTCTATAGCTGAGGCAAGTTATTCTCCTGCAACAAGGAAAAAAAATAGGACCAGGTGTGTGTAAAGAGGTTATAAAAAGGATAAGCAGCTGCATTTTAATCCCTGTTTTCGGAACTAAGGCTAATTGGTGTATTCCTTAACTCTGAATGGAACCCAGCCTCTTCTCTCCTTCAGAGAGCTTCTTCCTATTGACAGTCAGATGCAAAACATCACTTGTTTGGGATTTGCTCTAAGCAAGGGAGCAGCTAAGCTTTTTCCATCCTAGGAGCTGCTGCTAGTTCTCAGTGGAGAGAGTGAGAATAAATGAAGGTGCTATGATGAAAGAGATTTGCTGAGGCACAGAGGATTTTGCAAATCCGGTAGCACCTTTGGGCAGCCCTGCAATGCTTCTTCCTTAGCAAGGCTGGCACCGCTGCTAACTGCTGTAGATTTACACTGATTCCACCCCCCACCCCCATGTGGGAGGCACTAGGAAGGCAGTTTAGTAGCACCAGGATGGATGATGTGTGCACTGACATTTGCAGTCTGTTGCCATGGTCGCCCAGGGACTCTTGTTTTGAAGTCGGATTTTTCTCCCTACCTCCTTTCAGGTGACGTCATGGATGTCCACGGTGGTGACAGGCCACCTGTGGGTTGATCAAGGGTTTAAAGAGACAGTCCTGTAACAGGAGCCCCGGCTATTGTCTCTGCACCTGATAAAAAGATGGGGCCCAGCAGCCCCGGCCCCACCCTCCGTCCAAGCCTGCTGCTGTCAGGACGGAGGAGGCAGGTGGTCCAGGTGGCAGGACACGGCGCAGCCTGGCCAGCCTCAGCCCCCCCCCCCCCCGCCCCCCCAGCGAGCACAACTACAACAAGAAGCAGCGTTGGGTGAAAGCCTCCCTCCTTCCGGTGGAGACCGAGGCGCGGAAAGAAGCCTCCAGACCGGCTGTCCGTCCGCCCCAGGGAGATGGCCAGAGGTAAGGCTTCATTTCAGACTGCCCCCCCGCCCCCTCCTCCCAGGGCTGGGGAAAGTTTGCCCGGGAGCCCCTGTGCCCCCAGCCCCGGGAGGCTCGCAGGGTCTTGTGGCGCTGGCGTGAGTGCGTGTGTCTAGATTTGCAACCGGCGAAGGGGGCGGCTGCCCTCCCAGCTCCACGGTCGCGGTTCTTTTCTCAGCCTGCCCCGGTCCCATCCCGCTGGGCCTCGGCCCCCGGCTTTAGGGGAGCGGCCAACACGCGTGTGCGGGTGGCTGCAGCCTGAGCGAAGGCGCTCGGGGAAGTAGGAGGAGAACGGAGAGAGACTCTGGCGCTAGTCTTCCCGAGAGCAGTGCCCGACCCCGCCGGCTGCCACGGACCCTGCAAACCCGCCTCGGGAGCAATCGGGGCGAGGCAGCTCTGGCGGGTTCCTAGCAGCCCTCCCCCGAGCCAGGACTTCCCTGTCCCAGAGCAAATCTTGGCAGCGGGGGACGCTGCTAGCTGCATCCGCTTCTTCACCTGCTCTCCTTCTCCCTCCACGCCTGCCTCTCCTTCCCTTCTAGCTACTGTGTTCCTCCCTCTCTCGCACTTCCATGTCCCCCACTCCCTCCATCGGGCTGAGCGTCCACGCATACAACCAGTCTGGTCTTGTAAAGACCCCACCCCGTGAAACTGCCCCGGGACTCTGCAGCGGCTAGCTTCCCCCTTGTTAACCAAGAACCTAAATAGCTCCCCTTTCCCTGCGACAAGCGGTTTCGCCCGCCTTTCATTTCGCTTTCCAGTCCCGGCTTCCCTTCCCGTCCCGGGGATCGGTGCAATTAATGACATCCTAGCATCCTCTCCTGGAAAATGGCAATTACCCTTTTGCGGGACTTGTTGAATGCTAATAATTTAATTCAGCAAACTCTTGATTGTGTTATTGGGCTTTAATCTAATATCTCCGAGGATCTCTCTCTCTCCCTTAGCTTCCCCCTCCCCCTTACAAGAGGAGAAAACGCTTTGCTTTGACTTCTCTTTAGTGCAAATCGAATTGGAGAACAACTGCGGGCTGTGATTTAACAAAGGGGCTTCATTGTGTGTCACTGCCACCCCCAATTACTCCGCTGCTGTTTATTAAATGGTAGCAGCTAGCGGAACTCATGCCCAATGGCTTGATGTTTGCACTTCTCCATCATCAATGCGTCCAATCCTTCTCTGTTGAGCATCACCCAGCAAAAAGCATGTCTTTTTCCCAAGGGTCCCCCATCACAAGGGAGCTATTTTCCAGCAAAGAGGTAGATTGGGGAAGGTGGGGGAACAGGCGAGAGACAGTTCAGGATGGAGGGTTGGCTGCAGTTTGGATGGTGGGTAGGAGGTTAGAAGCACTTCCCTGGCTGAGGTTCTGGCTCTTCCCAATTCTTCTGTCTTCAGTGACCCAGTCTAGCCACCGTTTTTCTCCAATCTCTCCCAGCCTCTCTTGATGGGGGGAGGGTGGGATGTCCTAGCTGATGAACTTTTCATGTGCTGGGTCATGTGTCTTGTAATATCCTAGGGTTTAATAATTGAAAGGCTGGATTTGGCTGCCTTTGTGCGGCGTGGTGAATGGTAACCAGAGATTTGTCAGGTGGGCGATGTCATCAGAACCCTGAGAAGTAAATGCCCCCGGTTTCAATAACTCCGGCGGGCAGATGTGTGAGGCGTCCGGTAATACCTGAAACGTGGCCCCAGAGGGAGGCTGCAGTACGATTTCAGCACCAGCAAAGTGGACAGCATTTCCCCAGACCATACCTATTCAGCGTCCTAGCAGCACCACAACCGCGGACAGCTCTCTGCTGATCTCTCTGGTTGACGCCTTCACAGACAGTGTCCTTGTCCTTGCAGTCTGCAGGACTCTGGAGCGGGGCTCCAGCCACGTCTGCCTAGCTCTCTCTTGCGTTCATATTTAGATCTTTGAAAATACCCTTCATTCTGCTGCCTCTCCAGCCCCAGCACGAGCTAGGGGCAGGTCGAAGCTCATGTGGGTGTCAAGAGGCAGCAGACGCTCCAGTGGTGGGTATAAACGGGTGTGTAGCAGGGACTGTTTTTAAATTGAGTCAAACTAGGGTTCCCAAATTCAGAGGGGCCCAAAATGCAGCCGTATGCCTGGCCAAAGCCAGAGAGCTTGGTGTTTTCTCACCTGTGCTTGGCACTTGGCAGCGAGCTGGGCTTGGGGCATGGCCCCGGCATGTTGCCAGATGGCTTGGAAAGTCTCTGGCAGCTTCAGTGCAAATGGGGAAGACGCTGCTGCTGCCTGCTGGAAGCAAAGCTACCAGGCGCCAGTGCTAAGTGCGGAGCAGAAATGGTGTGGGGGGGGGGTGAGGGGGGTGTGCCCTGTCCAGGTATCCTCTACTCATGAGACGCCCAGGGTACATGTGGCAGGAAACATGATGATCACCTCAGGAAGGGCAGAAGGCTGCACAAAGCCAAGGGGGTGAGGTGGCAGATGCAGCTTTCTCCGGGTTTGCAGTGCTCCTGCCCTACCATCCATGATTCTTCCATCTCTGGGGGGAAGGAAGAAGCCAGGCTCCAGTGCAGG